CTGAATCAAGGAAATTTTGGGAAATTAACACCAACGCATCTACTAGCTCATTAACGACCTGTTTATGACCCTAGGATGAAGTCTATCTAAATGTGGATACTTGTCCATCAATTTGCTCCATACTGCTTCCCCTGTGATAATTTCCCTCAGTTCCTGTCTCCTTTCAACCTCTCGATTTACACGTATTACTGGAATGTTTCTAATATTGTCTGTCCTGATGACAGAAGCAAAGTATTTGTTCATTTCATCTGTCATTTCCCTATTATCTAGTATTGACATACCATTTTCTATTCTCTAGAGAATCAACACTCACTTTATTTATCCTTTTCTATTTTAAATACCTGTTGCTACTGTTTCTACATTCCTAGCTATCTTCCCCTCATACTCTGATTTTTTTTTACTTCTTGTTTATCTTTTTAGTTATTCTCTTCCATTCTTTATATTCTAACCCATCATCTGACCTGCCACTCATCTCTGTGCAGCTTTTTACTTCTTTCTTAAGTTTGATCCTTTCCCTAACTCCATTAGTTAATGGAAAATGGGGGGATCCTCTCTTTTGAATTTTTCTTTTGTGGTGAGCTAGGACCTCAAGAATTTATTTATTCTGAGTATCCCAACGTATCCCTTTAAGTATCTAACACAGTGTCTCTATTGATCTATTCCTTAGCCTAGAATGCCAGTTCACTTCAGCTAGCTCAGCTTTCATGCCCTCATCATGCCCTCGCTTAGGTTTAAAACACTAGTCTTAAACCTAATCCTATCCCTTTCAAACAGGATGTAAGATTCAGTCATACTGTGGGCTCTAGAACATTGCGGTGCCTTCATTCTGAAGCTGCAAATTAATCCTGTCACATTACACAATACCAAGTCTAACATAACCTGCTGTCTGGTTGGTTCCACCATGTGCTGCTCTGAGAAACTATCTCTCAGTCATTCTTTGGAACTCCTCATTCAGTCAACTACTGCCAATCTGGTTTTCTCAGTTCATTTGTAGATTAAAATTGTCCATAATTAATGCCATCCCTTTATGGCAGTTTTACATCCTGTCATGTATAGATGGTTATCACCAAACAGAAGCACTTGTCACTGGGATTTTTGCAAACGCACCTTCCTTAGAAAACTCAGTGTCAATGATTCTTTGTGACGCTGTTCAAGAGGACGACCATATTTAACACTGGATTCACAGTAAGGACATTCCAGGGGTATGCGAGCTAAACTGAGAATTTCCTTTCCTTCAGTAGAAACTACTCCAAACAATATACAATAGATTAAAACAAAACAAAGAACTGCAGGTTCTGGAAATCTGAAACAAAAACCAAAATTGCTAGAGAAACTCAGCAGGTTCAGCAGCATCTGCGGAGAGAGCGCAAAGTCATCGTTTTCTGTCCACAGATGTTGAGTAACAGCAGGTCAGGCAGCATCAGAGGAGCAGGAAACTTGATGTTTTGGGTCGGGACCCTTCATCGGGACTTAGCAGGAAAGTCGACGTTTCAGTCCTGATGAAAGGCCCTGACCCAAAACGTCGACTTTCCTGCTCCTCTGATGCTGCTTGATCTCCTGTGTTCCTCCAGCTCCACACTGTGTTATCTCTGACTCTAGCATCTGTAGTTCTTACTATCTCCGAGACCTGCTGAATATCCATCAGACATGATGACAGTCATAAACCCAATGTTAAAGACAGCCGGATGCTTTCCTTAAAGTGAGTTCGGGCAATTATGATATAAGGATAGCAAGCAAAGCCAAACCAAATTCACTCACTCTCACTAGATTCACAGCACAATGAAATTAAAATCGTCAATGACCCCTAAAATTTCTCAAATGTTTCTAACTAGACTTTACAAATAACAGACCTTGGAAACTGAGTTTACAACTTCAACAAAAATTAGCAATTTATTATGAAGAATGTAACTTTAGCAGAACACAGGAAAACTACAAGGCAATCTAATTAATATGTGTCATCTTACCCAACCTTCCTTGATTATAAACCCCAATTTCTCACACCAACAGACAGACCCAGTTAAGAGATAAAAAAAGAAAATAAAAGAATCATAATTTGCCAGTTTGATAACTGTTTCAATAGTGAGTACCAGACCTTCATGAAATCCTTCATCCTGATGGGTTGTATGTAGGGCTGTATAATCCTGAAGTCACCAGTCCATGCAAGCAGCTTCCGCAGACTTCTGGAGGCTTTTACTTGATTCTTACAGAATGGGATTCTTTTGTCCGAGCTTTGAACAAATTGATAACTGGAGAATAATGAGAGAGAGACACAGAGAGCAAAACCAAAAAGCCGCCCAATCCGGAAACTTCCAAAACAAAACTGCCCCCTGCCCAAAGCCCAGTCAGAGCTGGTTTACTTTGTTTTTTTTTTCCCCCCTGTTCTTCAATATTCTTTGTGATTGGCTGGCCAGCACCGCTCCTCCTTTGACTGATCAGCTGCCAGACACTGAGCACATCAACATGCCGGTGCCAAAATATTTGCATTTCCCTCGAGCAATAATTAATCAGCAGTATCTTTCCAGGCCAGTTCCCAACCTCAAACATCTGTCTTTTTTTCTCTGAGATAGCAAGAACTGCAGATGCTGGAGTCAGGGATAACACAGTGTGGAGCTGGAGGAGCACAGCAGGCCAGGCAGCACCAAACGAGCAGGAAAGTTGACGTTTCGGGTCGGGACCCTTCCTCCAGCTCCACACTTTGTTGTCTTTTGTTCTCTCTTGTTTTTCAAACAAGCTGCTGTTCAAAGTTCAACTCTTAACTGCGACTCTCAGTTCCAAACCAAAAAGGAGAAAAATAAAAGTAGTGATGGTCTCATGTGTTTTCCAAGAAATACCTTATTAATAAATGTTCCAAGTCTTTTCATGGATTTCTTTTAAGAAAGTAAGACAGTATAGGCATTTCCACTGTCGTACAAACTCAAGTTCACACAAATATTAAATACGAAGCCATCATAACATCAGTTCTGCCTTCGTACCCTCATTGTAACCTTATTAGGTAAAAAATACTCATCTTCATTCCATTTATTTGATGCTGTTTGATCAGTCATTATGCAGGAGCTGGAACAATGCTGATGTTTTCTGGCTTGGGTTAGTGCTGCCACTGATGAGACCCCAGAGGAAACAGTAAATTGCAAACACCATCTGAATGAAGATTAAATCTGGCGTTGCTACTACATGATTGTTGTCATTGATGAATTTCCTCAGCAGCTCTTCATGGGAGCATGACTGTATTTTGGTGACCATGACTTTGTGTTAAATTTGTACCATCTAAGACTTCCTTTCTGTCTTGTGTTCTCTTGTCTGCAGTGGAGTTTCCAGTGCCCAAGAGTGAGCTTGTTCAAAGATTCCAAGTGCTGTACTTGGGAAATATTCCAGTGACCAAGCCTGTAGGTAAGAAAGGAAACTCAGCTGAACAGCCCAGACATTAATGCTTGTTCCTAACCTTCATCTTTGGCAATTATTGGTAATGGCAATGACTGGAGATGAGGAATAGGGTCTGCTTCTCGCTCCAGCCCTACTTAATCCTCCACATCTGTCGTTCTTAATGAGAGACTATAACAAATCCACTGTTCCACTTTGTAACCATCTTCTTCCTCCTGTCATCAACATTTCTCTATTTTACTGTTAATTCTGTCTTGGTTGAGTGACTTTTTAATCATTTTCTTTTCCCAGCCTGGTCTCCACTCTTTGTACGACTATGTATGTGCATGGGTTACCTGGATGTTTTATTTGAGGGCTCAGTTACAATTCTGATTTGGTCAGTGTTCAGGGACAGGAGTTTGCGATGACCTGTAAAGTAGGGAAGGGGTCCCAGTGGACGGGAGCTTAGGAACCTCAACCTTTGTCATTGTCCAACAGGTTTTGGGATCCAAAACAGAAATTGATGAAAATGGTCTGGCAGCACCTGTGGAAAGAAATCAGAGTTAATGTGTCAGAATCCTTTTTCAGAATCTTTTCAGGATCCTTCAGCTTGTCTAGTTGAGAGTAAGGACTGCGGGTGCACAAGGTAACTTTGCTGGGGAGTGGGAATCCATTCAAGAATGTGCAGCAAAGAGAAATGTAGTGATTGTTGGGGACCGTGTGGTGATAGAGATTGAACCCAATCTATGCAGTAAAGAATGAGAGTCCAGGTGACTGTGTTATCTTCCCAGTGCCAGGATTCAGGAAATGTTCAGAGCTGGAGAGCAATCTCCAGTGGAAGGGGGCGGATCTCCTCACTCTGGTCCATAGGATAGAAGAGGACAAAGAAAGAAGTTCTGCATAGTGAGTAGGTAGAATTATGCACCGAATACAAAGCAGAGGCTCTAAGAGGCTCTCTGCCACGTGAAAACTGATATACGCAAGTAAGCTTAAAGAGAATGAATGTCTTGCTCAAAGTCTGGTGTAGTAGAAGTTGGCTTGGTTTATGGGGCATCAGCATTAATGCCATAGAGAGCTGGGGTTGTCTTGTTGGAGCAGTCTGCACCTGACCCATGCCAGGAGCAGTGTTCTCGTGAGCCATGTAACTAGGGAAATAGAGTTTTAAACTGAAATCATAGGGTAAGGGATCAAATTTGGGACAATGTGGTAAATCAAAGATTAGAGACACGGCAAGAGAAAAATACTTATACAGTAAATGATAAACTGACAGTGGTGACAGAACAGAGAGAAAGTTCCAATGTAGTAGTAAGGTCAGAGATAACAAAACTGAAGGCTTGACAACTGAGTGCATTTGAAATTTATCTATATCTGCAGCATTTGAAACAAACAGATGAACAGAGTGCAACAGAACTAAAGAAATGCAATCTGATAATTGTGATTGAAGGATGACGAGGATTGAGATCTGAATATTAAAGCACTGGTAAAGGATTGAGCAGTGATTCTGTTAGTCAAAGATGGTATTAGCACAATAGAGAGGACAGAGTGAGAGTGAAGATGGTGTGCTGATGTCTGAAAACTATTGGAACAGTGTAAATCACCTGAGATGCTATCCTAAAGGCAGGAATACTAGATAATGTGATGAACCTGGCCTGTAGTGACAGGGCAGGGGAGTTTCAGGAAATTTAGTAGCAAGATCCAGAATGGCAAAAGTGTTTGAGGGTGTAAGTGTTTCTACTTGCAGAAAATTAAGGATTTGTACGAGGAGCATGGAGAACAAGGAATTGTCTGGGAATCATAGAGTCCTACAGCATGGAGACAGGCCCTTCGGCCCAAACTGGTCCATGCCGTCCAAAATGTTCATCCACGCTAACCCCATTTCCCTGCACTTGGCCCATATCCTTTTAAATCTTTCCTATCCATGTATTCATCCAAATGCCTTTTTAATGTTGAAATTCGTACCTGCCTCAACCACTTCAGATGGCAGCTCATTCCATATTCATACCACCCTCTGTGTAAAAAAAGTTGCCCCTCAGGTTCCCATATATTCTTTCCCCTCTCACCCTAAACTGATGCCTATAGTCCTCGATTCCCCAAACCTGGGAAAAAGACTGAGTGCATTCATCCTATCCATCCCGCTCATGATCTTATACTTCTCTAAAAGATACCCTCTCAGCCTCCTATGTTCTAAAGAAAAAAGTTCAGAAATCACATGGCACCAGGTTATAGTCCAACAAGTTTATTTGTAAACACAAGCTTTTGGAGTGTAGCCCCTTCGTCAGGTGAAGTGCGGCCTCACCAATGTCCTGTACAACTACAACATAACTTCCCAACTCTGTACTCAGTGCCTGACTGACGAAGGCCAGTGTGCCAAACGCCTTGCTCACTGCCCTGCCTACCTGTGACTCCACTTTCAGAAAACTCTGCACCTGAACTGCAAGGTCCCTCTGTTCTACTACACTCCTTAAGGCCCTACCATTCACCATGAAACTCCTACCTTGATATGACTTTCCAAAATGCAACACCTCACACTTATCTATATTAAACTCCATTTGTCATTTCTCGGCTCACTTCCCCAGCTGATCAAGATCCTGCTGCAATTTCTGATAACCTTCCTGACTGTCCATGATACTGCCTATTTCAGTGTCATCCACAAACTTACTAATCATACCTTGTACATTCTCACACACATCAGTGATATAGATAACAAACAGCAACGGGCCCAGCACCGACCCCTGAGGCACCCCACAAGTCACAGGCCTCCAGTCCGACAAGCATCCTTCCACCGTTACCCTCTGCTTCCTACCATCAAGCCAATTGTGTATCCAATTTGCCTGATCTCCCTGGATTCCATGTGATCCAACCTTCCAGAGCAGCATACCATGTGGAACCTTATCAAAGGCCTTACTGAAATCTGTGTAGACTACATCTACCACCCTGCCCTCATCAACTTTCCTGGTCACTTCATCAAAGAACCCTAACAAATTTGTGAGGCATGATCTCCCACGCACAAAACCACACTGACTACTCCTAAACAAACCTTGTCTTTCTAAATGCATGTATATCTTATCCCTCAGAATCTTCTCAAGTAACTTACCTACCATAGACATTAAGCTTACTGGCCTATAATTTCCAGGTTTCTCTTTGCAGCCCTTCTTGAACAAGGGCACAACATTCGCTACCCTCCAGTCTTCCCGAACCTGACCCGTGGCTAGCGATGATGCAAATATATCAGCCAGGGCCCCCACAATTTCTTCTCTAGCCTCTTGTAGGGTTCTTGCATATATCTGGTCAGGATCAGGAGGTTTATCCACCTTCATACATCCTAATACTTCCAGCACCACTTCTACTGTGATATGGGCTGTCCCCAAGATGTGGCCACTAACTTCCCCAAGTCCCCGAGCCTTCATGCCTTTCTCCACGGTAAACACAGAGGAGAAATATTCATTGAGGACCTCGCCCATCTCCTGTGGTTCCACACATACATGTCCACTTTGATCTTGAAGTGATCCTATTCTCTCTCTAGTTATTCCTTTTCCTTTAATATACTTAGAATCTCTTTGGTTTCACCCGAGCCTTCACAGCCACAGCTACCTTGTACCCCCTTTTCGTCGTCCTGATTTCCTTCTTCAGTAAAATCCTGTATACCTCCAGGGATTCCCTTGATCCCAGCTGCCTGTCCCTGAGCCATGTCTCCTTTTTTCTGGTCAACGCCATAAAGATCTCTTGTTATCCAGGGTTCCCTATTCCCGCCAACCTTGGCCTTCACCCTCATAGGAACATAAAAACATTGAACTCTAGCTATCACACTTTTAAAGGCCTCCCACTTGCCAAAGGTCCCTTTGCCTGCAAACAAATACTGGAATCAACCCCTGCAAGCTTCTATCTAATTCCATCAAAATCTGCCTTGCCCCAGTTTAGAACTTGAACCTGTGGACCAGTTTTGTCCTTCTCCATAACGATTTTAAAATTAATAGAACTGTGGTCACTGGTCCCAAAGTGCTCTCCCACTGTGACCTCAGTCACCTGTCCCGCCCTGTTTCCCAAGAGTAGGTCAAGTTTTGCCCCTTCCCGAGTAGAACCCTCTACATACTGCTTGAGGAAACTTTCTGGAACCCATTTAACAAATTCCACCCCATATAGGCCCTTAACATTGTGGAGGCCCCAGTCTATGTTAGGAAAATTAAAATCCCCCACTATGACAACTCTATTGCTCCTGCAAGTCTCTGCAATTTCCCTCATATTTGTTCCTCTAATTCCTGTTGACTATTTGGAGGCCTATAGTACAACCACAATAACGTCACCATCCCCTTATTTCTTAGTTCCACCCACAAAGCCTCACTGGATGATCCCTCAGTTATTTCATCTCTGACTACCTCTGTGATACTCCCCTTAATCAAAAATGTAACCCCCGTCCCCTCTTTCCTCCACCTCTGTCCCGCCTAAAGCACCTGTACTCTGGCACATTAAGCTGCCAGTCCTGTCCCTCCCTTAGCCATGTTTCTGTAATGCCTATAATATCCCAGCCCCACGTACCTATCCACATCCTGAGTTCATTGGCCTTACCTGTCAGCCACCTTGCATTGAAATACATGCAATTTAATCCAACAGGCATTCCTTGCTCCCTGTCCTATCCCAGCCTGACCTGTCTGTTCAACTTGCTATTTCTGATTACTGTATCTCCTTCCATCCTCACACTTGCCTCCCTGCTGTTGAGGAGCCCCCCCCCCACCAATCTAGTTTAAACCTTCCTTGCAGCACTAGCAGTAGCAAATCTGCCTTCCAGTTCAGGAGTAACCTGACTGTCTTGAACAGGTCACCTCTGCCCCAGAAAAGATCCCAATGATCCAGGAATCTGAATCCCTGCCCCCTGCACCAGTTCTTTAGCCACACATTCATCTACCATATCCTCCTGTTCTTACCCTCACTAGCACATGGCACTGGAAGTAATCGGTAGAATCGTTAGAGGTCCTGGTTTTTAACTTTTTTCCTAGCTGTCTATAATCACTCTGCAGGATCTCATCCCTATTCATGGCTATACATTTGTGCCAACATGCACAATAACTTCTGGCTGCTCTTCCCACCACCCCCCCCAACCACCACCACCACCACCACCACCCTCCCCCCCAACAGAACATTCTGCAGCTGCTCCAAGACATCCTGGACCCTGGCACCCGGGAAGCAACACACCATGCTGGGATATTGGTTGAACATTAAGATTAAAGTGTCACACTGTAGAATAGGTTTAGAAAAAAAAAATCAGAGTATCACCACCGCCAACCATTGAGCACCAAGTTGGAACAAGAATACACAGTTCATGTGTGGAATTAGTGCACACACAATGGGGCACATCGCCTCCTGTACTGGCCAGCTGTGGTTTGCAGTTATGGGTGGTGAAGGCCATGTTTCGCATTTCCAGGGGGCAGTGTCCACAGTTAGAGGGAGTGGGGGCAACGGTTAGAGGGGGTGGCAACCATGGTTACAGGGGGCAGTGCCCACTAATAGAAGGGGCCAATAGGTTGCTGAGGGCAGGGTCTGCAGTTAGAGAGGGTCACAGTTGTCCATGACTTGTCAGTTAGCCTCCTATCACAGGCCCTCTGTTCCTGCCTCATGTTCTGACATCTTCCCTTACAAGGCAGCTCATCATATGCCACTGGTATCTCGTAAAACTACTCACTAAGTCAGCCTCTCTGACTTGAAAATGCACACAAACATAGAGCAGTAGTAGCTCATTGAGCCTTCTCTGAGATTTAGTAACATCTTTGCTGATCTGATTGTGACATCAAATCCCACCTACCCCTGAGATCTTTTCACCCTCTTGCTTAGCCAGAATTTTCAACCATCTTCAGCTGCTTCACCTTCCCTCCATCATAAGATTAGAGATGGGGATGTTTGCTGATTATTGCATAATGTTCAGCTCCATTCATGACTCCTTAGATTCCATGTTTGAATGCATCAAGATCTGGACAATATCCAGTCTTGGGCTGATAAGTACCAAGTAACATTCGTACCACACAGATGTCAGGCTATGACCATCACCAATAAGAGACAATCTAACCACTGCCCCTGGACATTCAGTGGTGTTACCATCACTGAATCTCCCACTGTCAACAACTGGGGGTTATCATTCACCAGAAACTCAATTAGATTTGCCACATAAACACAGTGGCTGCAAGAGCAGGTCAGATGCTGGGAGCACTAAGTGAATAACTCACCACCTGACTCCCCAAAGACTTTCCACTATCTACAAGGCACAAATCAGGAGTGTGATACAATACTCCCCACTTGCCTGGATGGATGCAGCTCCAACAGTACTCAAGAAGCTTGACACAATCCAGGACAAAGCAGCCTGCTTAATTGGCACCGCATCCACAAACATCCACTCCCTCCACCACCGGCACTGTGCACTATCTACGGTGCACTGCAGAAATTCACCAAAGATCCTCAGACAGCACCTTCCAAACCCACGACCACTTTCATCTAGCAGGAGAAGGGCAGCAGATACATGGGAGCACCACCACCTTCAAGTTCCCCTCTGAACCACTCACCATCCTGACTTGGAAATATATCGCTGTTCCTTCACTGTCGCTGGGTCAAGATCCTGGAATTCCCTCCTTCATAGCATTGTTGGTGAATCCACAGCAGGAGGACTGCAGCAGTTCAAAAAGGCAGCTCACCACCACCTTCTCAAGGGCAACTAGGGATGGGCAAGAAATGCTGGCCAGCCAGCGACTCTCACATCCCACAGATGAATTTTTAAAAATCTACTTCTGTCTTCAAGATATTCAAGGACTGTGCTTCGACTCCCTTTACAGAAACATCTCTGTCCAGAATGACCGAGCTGTTTTTCAGTCAGTGAGCCCTGGGTCAAGATTCTCCCACAAGAAGAAATATCTTTTTCACATTCCCTGCCCTGTCAGGGCTTCATATGATCTTTTATGTTTCAATCAAGTCACCTCTTATTCTTCTGAGCTCCAGTGGATACAAGCCAAGCTTGTCCAAATTTTCCTCATCGGACAACTCTCCAATTTCATATGTGAGTCTAGTAAACCTTTTCTGAATGGCTCCCTCACCCCCTTCCTCTCAGCTCCTTGCGAAATGCAGTAGCCAATTTGCTCACGGCAGGTTATACAAGCCAAAGGCTAATTGTTGACATTTTAGTAGATATTTATTTTTAGTTTGTTTTTCCCTCCTCCTCTTCCCTACAGCAGGAGAGACTGACATGTCTATACTAACACTGCTGTTATCTGTCTTCTCATCCAGCCATGACCTCTAACCTATCAGCTCAGTAACATTTTAAAACAAACAGTTTTTTTTAAATAAACTCTCAAGGTTTCACAAATGAGCCTTCCTCTTATCAGACACTAGGCACCTCTGGAGAGCAGGGATACTGGGAGCCAATCGTGGGTCAGGGATGCAGAGATCAGGTAGGGAGCTAAATTGCTGCTAGGCACCAGGAGCTTGAGTTTTTAAGAAGTTCTCTACATACGTTTGTTGATGATTGTAGCTAATGGAGAAACACACCATGTATAGCAGTCTGCATGTTCTCCTAGATCCCCACTTCCTCCAGGGATTCGGGATGGGTAGCAGATGTCACCCGAGCCAGTGATGCTGAAAGAATTTTGAAAACATGTTAAACATGGAACAAGAATGAGTCTTCCTCTCAGCTGCTGAAACTGTCATTATTGGAGCTAATTCCTGAATGCATAGATAACTTTTCATTCTATTTCTTCACGATAAACCACCTTCTGAAACCTCTCCCCCATCCCCTTGCCCTCATCCTCACCCTCAGCTCCAACAGATATGAGGGTCTCGTGGAACTTGTTTGTCACTGAGATTGAGACTATCCAATCAACTTCCTCTGCTACTTCTAACCTTTCACTAACCTGTTTGGGAGACCTAGTGGTAGTATCACTGATCTAGTAATCCAGAGAATCAGATAATGTTCAGGGGACTTTGTTTTGAATCCCATCACGGCAGATGGTGGAACTGGAATTAAATTTTAAAAACAATAATCTGGAATTAAAGTTGAACGATGACAAGGTAATCATTGTTGGTTGCTGGAATATTCATCTGATTCACTAATGCCCCTTTAGGGAAGGAAACTGGCATCGTTACTTGGTCTGCCCTACATGTGAATCCAAACCAACAGCAATGTGCTTGACTATAAACTGCCCTTGCTATCCCTGCCTTACCTCTGTAGTCCTTCAAATTTTTGGTCTTTGGGTAATGACCTTGTTTATCAAAGCTGGGAAGGGATGTGTGTTGCAGAGAGAGAATTAACAGAAAGATTCTTGGCAGTGTGGAGGAGCAGAGGGATCTTGGGGTTCATGTTCACAGTTCCCAGAAAGCTGCCACCCAGGTGGATAGAGTTGTTAAGAAGGCATATGGTATGTTAGCTTTCATTAATAGAGGGATTGAGTTCAAGAGCCGTGAAGTTATGCTCCAGCTATACAAAAGCCTGGTTCGGCCACATCTGGAGTATTGTGTCCAGTTCTGGTCACCTCATTACAGGAAGATGTGGAAGCATCAGAAAAGGTGCAGAGGAGATTTACCAGGATGTTGCCTGGAATGGAGGGAAGGTCTTACGAGGAAAGGTTGAGAGAGCTAGGGCTTTTCTCTTTAGAATGACGAAGGATGAGAGGTGACTTGATAGAGGTGTACAAAATGATCAGAGGTATAGGTAGAGTAGACAGCCAGAGACTTTTTCCTAGGGTGGAGGTAGCTTTTACGAGGGGACATAGTTTTAAAGTGAAAGGAGGTAGATATCGGGGAGACGTCAGAGGTAGGTTCTTTACTCAGAGAGTGGTAGGGGCGTGGAATGCATTGCCGGAGAGGATAGTGGAGTCGGCCTCATTAGGAGCATTTAAGCGGCTATTAGATAGGCATATGGATGATAGTATAAGGCAGCGGTGGAGGTTAGATAGACCTTAGGTTTAGGGTAAAAGTTCGGCACAACATCGTGGGCCGAAGGGCCTGTACTGTGCTGTACTGTTCTATGTTCTATGTTCTTACTTACCACAGTATTGCTCCACAGCATCTTTTAAGGTCAGATCCTGCAGATATATGTGACAATTGACACAGAAATTCACAACTAGTAATGTGAACTCAAATACCTGACCTGCATTCTTGACCAAGGAATAGTGCTGCCCTACCAAAATACAGCACTTCTCAATACAGGCCTCTGACAGTGCCCGCTCCCTCAGCGCTGACCCTCTGACCGTGCGGCGCTCCCTCAGCGCTGACCCTCTGACAGTGCCCGCTCCCTCAGCGCTGACCCTCTGACAGTGCGAGCTGCACTTATTATTGATTCTCTGAAGTAAGATTTGAAACATTGTGAAGTAAAAAATAAAAGAATCGCAGATGCTGGAAATCAGAAAAAAAACTCAGAAAATGCAGAGAAAAACCTGATGGCACCATTTGTGGAGAGAAAGCAGAGTAAATGTTCCAGGCCCAGACAGTAACGCTGCAAAAATACAGCATTGAACCCTCACCCACCACCACTACTGTGTGTTTGTTTATGGAGTCCGTCCATTGCATAGAGCAGAGTGAGACACAGAGATGATGGTTTTTAGTTTCTGAAATATTTTTGTATGTGCTGCTGAAGTATTGGCACCTGTTTGTAAAGTGAATATTTGAGTGCAGGAGGTGGTAAAGTGCCCATCCGCTCCATCTGTTATCTCTCTGAATTCCTCTTCGATTCTCACACCATTCTGGGTTTCTTGTTCACTGATGTCAGTATTGCAGTCTTTTTTTCAAAAAGGAATCCAAATGAACCCTCAGAATAGCAGCAGATAAGTATATGGAATTATTCAGAGGCAGTCTCAGAGGGGTTGTGCTGAGATTGGCTAGGTTGTGGTGCTGGGATCGGCCAGAGTCATGCAGAGACTGGATTCTCATTCTACTTCCTCAAATACAAAAGTCAGCTGCAATCTGTCAACCCCAGAACAGTCCCCTGCTCGTGCTTGTGCTGTTTCTCCTCTCTCCACCCTTCTTCCTCCCCATACCCCCAGTTGCGGTAGTGATGTCAAGCCATTGGGAGGGATTTAACTTCACGGATGTCACTGGAGCCCAGCCTGAGACAGACACCCCACCCCTCACCCCACCACCACCTTCCCCACTCCATGACCTCCTGCTGCCTATCCCTCCACTCAGAGGGTGGTGTGTATCTGGAATTCACTGCCTAAAAGGCTGGTAGAGACTGGAAGCATAGTCACATAAGAAGAATTTAGATGAGCACTTGAAAAGTACAGCATGCGAGGCTGTGGACCAAGTGCTGGAAAATGGAATGTGGATTGATAGAGCACAAACATGATGGGCCAGAAAGCTTTAGTCGTGCAGTAAACTCTCTGGCTTCTGTGGCCCCTGTCCCCTACACATGGATTCTACGCCTCCCCCAAGCTGTGAGTTGTTCCATAAATGGAACCCCCCACTACTCTGCAGATCCATAATCCACTACTCTGCTATCCATAATCCATAGACCTTCTGAAATGTTTCAAACTCCTGTCCATCTATATTTTTACCTGCAATGAACAGCCCCAGGAGTGCAAAGCCAGAGTGTATTGAAATGAGGATTAACCTTTCCACCGAAAGAGATGAACAGGCCAGCACAAATCTGAATGATTGCTGCAGAAAACTGTCCTGGGAACAATGTAGCCTAGATTTCTTTATTTATCATCCTGACATTGTGTGAACAGTGATGTAATAGTGATGATAATATGACTGAGACAGAGAAATGTGAACCAGTTACTAATATTCCAGATTTATGTAAGATTGGCTTAATGGGATGAGATAAGGACTGTCTGTTAATGGATAAAATGACAGAAGATGATCTGTGGGAGGTACCCAAAAAGAAACAAATTTAAAATGATTCAGAACCAGCTTAAATGCTAAAATCCATTTACCAAAAACCAAAGCCAGAGACAACTAAAGAATGAAAAGGAAATGCAGACAAATACAAAAGCTAATGGAAATCCTGGTGAATGAAAATGATGCAAAGAACCACAAAGGATGACAATTGGCAAAAATTACACAAGGGATCTTACAAAGGATATCAAAACCAGCAGAACAGTTTTACAGTTATTTCTGGAAAATAAGTAGGAACATTTCTACACACAGGGTGAGAAACATGAACTTCAGGGGAAAATAGATCAAGCCATGGCAAGCTAAAGATGTTAAGTATAGTATTAGATTAAAAGAAGAGGCTTAATGTCATGATGAATAGTAGGACACTTGAGGATTGGAAGTGTTTTTGAAACCAGCACAGGACTACTAAAAGGTAGTTGATAAGGAAAGAAATCGAATATGAGTAAACTAGACAGGAATAGAAAACAAACTGAGAGTCTTTGCAAGTATATAACTGTTCTCTTCCTTTTAAACTAAATGCTTGGGATAGAGATGAGAAAAACTATAATGAGGAATAGGAAAATGGCAGGGACATTTAACAAATACTTATTTTTTGATCTTCACAGTTTAAGATGCAATGAGCCATACTAGAAATGGAGGGTCCCCAAGGGCTAACAAAAGAGTGGAGCTTAAAACAATTAATATCAGCAAAGAAAAATACTGAAGCAATTTATAGGACTACAATTTGACATGTCCACAGCAGCTGATGGCTTACGCTCTTCGGTTATGAAAGGGGTAGCTGCGCAGTTAATGGATACACAGGTGATGATTTTCCAAAGTTTCTGTGATTTAGAATGGTCCCGGCAGTCTGGAAATTAACAAATGTATTGCAATTAATCAACAAAAACAGTGAGGGAGGAAACAAGGAACAAGTCAATTAACCTGATGCGAGTCATTGAGAAAATGTTGGAATCTATTATTAAGGATATGTTCACAAAAAACTTAGTAAATCATTCATCAATAATTTTATGAAAGGGAAGTATTGCCTAATAAACTTTAGTTTTTGCGGATGTTACGAACAGGATAGATAAAGCGAAACCAGTGGATGTAGTATAACTGGATCTTCAAAAGGTATTCAATAAAGTGCCATCTAAAAGGTGATAACACAAAATTAGGGCTTAGGAGTTGAGTCTTAGAATAGTTAAAGGAATGGTTAACAGAGCAGGAGGGGTAAGGGTAAGGGTAAGGGTAAATGAAGGTTTGTTGATTTGGTGAGGGGTGGAGTTAGCAATCACAGTTGCCTGATACAGGCAGTTAATATTTGTAGCACTTTTCTGACTGTTTATTAAGTTTATTAAGAAACAGTGGTTTAGATATGATGCATTTGTTAATTGGATGAAAAAAGGTGTGTGACCGTCACAATTGGAGATGGCTCATTGATACCTTAGGACAAACTGGCTGTTACATAGAATAGGTTGGTTTTGTTAAGATGATGGGGCAGCATCCTGCTCCCTGTCTGAAGAATGAGGAATCTCTTCCCTGGATCTTCCTCCTGCTCTTGAAATGAGCAAATGGAAAAGTACACAGGAACAGGCCCTTCGGCCCTCCAAGCCTGTGCCGACCATCATGCCCTAATTAATCTAAAAACAAACCTGCCATTTTTCGATCTGTATCTTCTGGTCTATCTTCACTCTGGAGAAGACAGCTTTCTCAGGGCCACAGGATTAGAGATTCCCCCGTGAGAACTCATCCTTACTGTTATTTTTCCAGGGGCAGGGTATTTTCTCTGTCAACCAAATGTCTGAACCCTTTTAGCCAATGGCCATGGGACAGCCATTGAAGACATCGAATGACTGCTGTCCCCTTGTCTACCTCCGTTTGAAAGTTAGTTTTCATTTCTTCTAAGAAGAAAACCTCCTTATTTTTGTAAACCACACACAAATAGAGTATGTTTGGCTCCAGTTAAACTGTTGACACTATTTCAGTATGCATTGTGACCTCTGTTTTTCTGGTAATTCTTCTTATTTCTTTTCCCATGCTAGAATTTTGGAAAGCTAATTACTGTTAAATGAAATCTCATGCAATTCAATATATAATGGGAAAATTCAGTTTTGAAGGGACCCCAATTTCTAACACATTTTCAATTTGGCAGGTGGTGACTAGTGAAGTGTCAAAGGATCATCGGGACCTCAGCTGTTTGCGATCTACACTAATGACTTAGAGAGAGACAGAGAGTACTGTGTAGGTAGGGGAGGCACTCTATGTATCTATAGAGGAAGTAGTTTGTGTAGTAGCATTGTCACTGGGCAAGTTATCCAGAAATACATTTATAGTTCTGTGAACACAATTTTGATTCCCACATGAAGGAGGGAATTTGAATTCAATAAAAGTAAATCTGGCTTTACATGTTTACTGATAGCCATGAAACCATTGTCGATTGTTGTAAAGCCTGCCTGATTCACCAGTTTTCTTCAGGGAAGGAAATCTGCCAACTGAGCATTGGCGATGGAGTGAGTTGGTTTATGGATCTAGTGCTAACCAAGCTGTTTGGTTTACTTTGATGGTTTCAAGCAAGATGTCAAGGGATGATGGTTAGATTCTTTCTTGTTGATGATGATCATTGTCTGGCACTTGTGTGACATGAATGTTACTTGCCGCTGATCAGCCCAAGCCTAGATATTGTCTTGTTGCATTTGGTCATGGACTGCTTCAGTATCTGAGGAGTCATGAATGCTGCTGAACGTTATGCAGTCATTGGTGAACATCCCCACTTCTTTTAGTCACACTCTGGTTCCAGATGATCTGCACTTAAAACTCCCTCACTGCTTGAGCAACCAACAGTATTTAGTGAGTGACAATCAGGCCAAATGTGGGAAGGAAAGCTCCCAGTGAAGACCATGTTCTAAGCTCTGCAATCCTGTCATGGTGGTGGACAATTAAAACAACTCATTAAAGGAAGAAGATCCACAAACATCCCCATCCTCAATGATGAGGGAGCCCAGCAAATGATAAGAGCACAAGAAATAGAAGCAGGAGTAGGCCATCTGGCCCCTCGAGCCTGCTCCATCATTCAATAAGATCATGGTGGATCTTTTTGTGGACTCAGCTCCACTTACCTCCCCACTCACCATAACCCTTAATTCGTTTATCTTCAAAAATCTATTTATCTTTGCCTTAAAAGCATACAATGAGGTAACCTCACTGGGCAGGGAATTCCACAGATTTGCGCCCTTTGGGTGAAGAGGTTCCTCCTCAACTCAGCTCCCCCTTATTTCGAGGCTATGCCTCCTAGTTCTTGTTTCACACCCCAGTGGAAACAACCTTCCTGCTTCTATCTTATCTATTCCCTGCATATTTTTATGTGTTTCTATAAGATCCCCCTTATTCTTCTAAATTCCAATTAACGATAGTCCCAGTCTACTCAATTTCTCCTCATAAGCCATCCCTCTGAACTCCAGAATCAACCTAGTGAACCTCTTCTGCACTCCCTCCAGTGCCAGTCCATCCTTTCTCAAGTGAGGAGACCAAAACTGTACACAGTACTCCAGGTGTGGCCTCACCAGCACCCTGTACAGCTGCAGCATAGCCTCCTTGTTTTTAAACTCCATCCCTCTGGCAATGTAGGACAAAATTCCATTTGCCTTCTTAAAGGCCTGCTGCACCTGCAAACCAACTTTTTGTGATTCATGCACAAGAACACCCAGGTCCCTCTGCACAGCAGCAGCATGCTGCAGTTTTTCTCCATTTAAATAATAATCCATTTGGCTGTTCTTCCTACCAAAATGGATGACCTCACATTTACCAACATTGTACTCCATCTGTCAGACCCTTACCCACTCACTTAACCTATCTGTATCCCTCTGCAGATTTTGCTCTACCATTCATCTTAGTGTCATCTGAGAACTTTGACACACTGCACTTGGTCCCCAACTATAAATCATCTGTGTAAGTTGCAAACAATTGTGGTCCCAATACTGATCCCTGAGGCACTAGCCACTGATAAACAACCAAAAAAACACCTATTTATCCCCACACTTTGCTTCCTGTTAGTTAACCAATCCTCTATCCGTGCTAATATATGACCATAACACTGTGCACCTTTATCTTATGCACCAGCCTTTTGTGCAGCACCTTGCCAAATGCCTTCTAGAAATGCAGACACACCACATCCACCGGTTCCCCATTGTCCACTGCGCTCGTAATGTCCTCAAAGAATTCCAGTAAATTAGTTAAACATGACCTGCCTTTCATCAACCCATGCTGTGTCTGCCCGATGGGACAATTTCTATCCAGATGTCTCGCTGTTTCTTCCTTGATTATAGATTCAAGCATTTTCCCCACTACAGAAGTTAAGCTAATGGCCTATAGTTACCCACCTTTTGACTACCTCCTGTTTTAAACAGTGGCGTCACATTTGCTGTTTTCCAATCTGACGGAACTGCCCCAGAGTCCAGCAAATTTTGGTAAATTGCCACGAGTGTGTCTGCTATTACTCCCACCATCTCTTTTAGTACCCTGGGCTGCAATCCATCAGGGCCAGGAGACTTGTCTACCTTTATCCCCATTAGCTTGCCCAACACAACCTCTTTAGTGATAATGATCATTTCTAGGTCCTCACCTGACATAGCCTCCTTGTCATCAATTATTGGCATGTTGTGTCTTCCACTGTAAAGACTGACACAAAATACCTATTCAACGCCTCAGCCATTTCCTCATCTCACATTATTAAATCCCCTTTCTTATCGTCTAGAGGACCAATGTTTACCTTAGCCACTTTTTTTCGTTTTATATATTTATGGAAACTTTTGCTATCTGTCTTTATATTCTGAGCTAGTTTACTCTCATAATCCGTCTTACTTTTCTTTGTAGCTTTTTTTTGTGGCTTTCTATTGACCTTTAAAGATTTTCCAATCCTCTAGGTTCCCACTAATGTTTGCCACTTCGTAACTACTAGCTTTCAATTTGGTACTCTCCTTTATTTCCTTATTTATCCATGGCTGATTGTCCCTTTTCCTACATTCTTTCCTTTTCACTGGTGTATACTTTTGCTGAGCACTGTGAAAAATCACTTTGAAAGTCCTCCACTGTTCCTCAGACGTCTCACCATATAGTCTTTGTTCCCAGTCTACCTTAACCAACTCCTCCCTCATCCCATTGTGGTCTCCTTTGTTTAAGCACAGGACACCTTCTCACCTTCCATCTGTATTTTAAATTCAACCTTACTGTGATCACAAACATAAACAGAAATTGCTGGAAAAGCTCAGCAGGTCTGGCAGCATCTGTGAAGAAAAAATCAGAGTTAACGTTTCAGGTCTGGTGGCCCTTCCTCAGAACCCAGTTTACAGCATCCGCATTTCTGAATTCGGATCTGGATTTCTGAAGAAGGGTCTAGGCCCGAAACGTCAGCGTTCCTGCTCCTCTGATGCTGCTTGGCCTGCTGTGTTCATCCAGCTCTACACCTTGTTATCTCTTATTACAGCATCCGCAGTTCTTTTGGTTTTTACTTACTGTGATCACTCCTTCCAAGAGGATCCCTAACTATGAGATCATCAATTCCTGTCTCATTACTCAGGACCGGATCTATGATAGCTTGCTCCCTCATCGGTTCCATTACATACTGTTCCGGACCTATCACAGATACTTTCTATTAAGTCCTCCTCAAAGCTGCCTCGACCGACTTAGTTTGACCACTATGTAGATTAAAATCCCAGTGATAATTGTCGTACCATTTTTTCATGCATCAGTTATTTATTTGGTTATTGCCTGCCTCTCCGTGATGTTATTATTTCGTGGCTTATAGATCATGCCTATCAGTGATACTTACCCCTTACTATTTGTAATTTCCACCAACATTGATTCAACCTTTTTCTCATCTCTCATTCCCACCCTCATGTCATCCTTAAATATCAGAGCTACACCACCTCCCTCTACATCCTGTCTGTCCTTCCGAATAGTCTGATACCTCTGGATATTTAACTCCCAGTCGTGACCACCCTGCAACCATGTCTCTGTAATGGCCATTAAATTATACCCATTCATGATGATTTGTGCTGTCACCTCGTTTATCAAATGCTTTGAGCATTCAGATAAAGTGCCCTTATGCTAGTTTTTATTCCTTTTTTGAATCCTAACACCTCCAACAGCAGAACTTTTGTTTTTAAAACTTGGCACTTTTTCTGTCATGACCTGGTTTCCACTCACTTTACTGCTACACTGCTCAGCTGCTTGTTGCTTTATATTTACTAACTTGATTCTCTTCTTCCTTAAGCCCTCACCCACTCTAGCTAACTCAGAGCCTCCCCTTAGGTTCCCATCCCTTTGCCAAACTAGTTTAAAGCTAGTTGATAAAGCTGAAGCATTCACAATAACCCTCAGCCAGAAGAGCCAAGTAGGTGATCCATTTCTCATTCCTGTGAAAGATACCAGTCTTCAGTCAATTCAGTTCACTTCACGGTATCATTACAGCACAGTACAGGCCCTTCGGCCCTGGATGAAGAAATGGTTGGAGACATTGCAACATTCCAACAATAGTACTGAAGACTTGTGCCCTAGAACTTGCCGCTCCCCTAGCCAAGCTCTTCCAGTACAGTTACAACACTGGCATCTACCCAACAATGTGGAAAATTGCCCAAATGTATCCTTTACAAAAAAGCAGAATAAATCCAAGGTGGCCGATTACTGCCCCATCAGTCTACTGTAAATCATCAGTAAAGTGATGGAAGGTGTCATTGACAGTGTTATCAAGCAGCCGCTGCTCAGTGATGCCCAATTTGGATTTCGCCAGGGCCACTCAGCTCCTGACCTCATTACAGCCTTGGTTCAAACATGGACAACAGAGCTGAATTCCAGAGGTGAGGTGAGAGTGACAGCCCTTCACATCGAAGCCAAATTTGACTGAATGTGTCATTAAGGGGCCCTAGCAAAACTGGAATCAATGGTAATTAATCATAAAACATTCCACTGGTCAGAGTCATACCTGGCACATAGGAAGATGGTTGTTGTTGTTGGGGATCAGTCATCTCAGCTCCAGGACATCTCTGCAGGAGTTCCCCAGGATAGTGTCCTAGGCCCAACCATCTTTAGCTGCTTCATCAATGACCTTCCCTCCATCATAAGGTCAGAAGTGGGGATGTTCGCCGATGATTGTACAGTGTTCAGCACCATTTGTGACTCTTCAGATATTCAAGCAGGCCATGTCAAATGCTGCCAGACCTCAACAACATTCAAGTTTGGGTTGACAAGTAGCAATTAACATTCAAGCCATGCAAGTGCCAGACAATCTAACCATTGTGCCTTGATGTTCAGTGACAAGTCCTCATTGATTTCTCACATTATTAACACCTTGGGGTTATCATCATTCAGAATCAGAATAGGACTAACCAAGATAGCGACAGGGTAAGTCATTCCATTTGGAGCTCCACTCTGTTTGCCAGTTCCCTTTCCTTTTCCAGTCTTTTTCCTTCCGTCTTCTCTCTCTTCTCTGTAGTAATTCAAAAACCCCTTGCCCCCTACCCTTTTAAACACCGACCGAAGGAGTCGAGAAGGAGTTGGGTCATGACTGGGAACTGCTTGGCGGGGGCTGAATGTGTGGCCTGTGTCCTGCAGCGATGGTGGATTGAGTGTGGGCCGGAGTAATGTCGCCGTTGAGAGCAGGACGGTGAGGGGGCAGCAGCTCGGTGAGAGCGGGGACGGTGAGGGG